AAAACTGAGACTCCTTCAGCCAGCCTTTTTTTTTTTTTTTTTTAACATCTTTATTGGGGTATAATTGCTTTACAATGGTGTGTTAGTTTCTGCTTTATAACAGAGTGAGTCAGTTCAGCCAGCCTTTTGAGTGCTCTTAAGTGGAGAAGCTGAGCCTATCATAAAGCAGATCCCCAGGGAAGCACAGAGACTGCTAAACACCTAAGACAATGCCATTTCTGGAATGTCAGTTTTGTAATTCTGAGAAGTGCCCAGTTGACATGAGATTGTGAAGTGAGCAGAGTCCTTTCTCCATCTTATTGCAAGTCACGTTCAGAGACTTGGGGTTAGTGTGGGAGTGAGTTTTTCCAGCAGGGAGAAATATGAGAATTGTTCTGACTGAGCTTTGAATTGTTCTAAGCTTTGGATGGTGGAACTTCAAGTGGTGGGTGGAGTACTAAGACTTTGGACTTTGGTATAAGCACTTTGTGATAAGAAGCCATAGAAAAACTATTGACAAAACACATTCCTTTTGATTTAAAAATAAGGTGCCAATTTTCTCCATTTGTGGTTGAACAGCATTAATTGCTTTGAACTTGGGGCAAATGCCAGTTAAGGCAAATAAATGCCTTTTCAGTGTTTGGAAGACCTACCTTTTTTGGTTTGAATGTTATGTAATACAGTTCTGTAGTGTTACAGGTGCTATATTTTATTGATTGGTATTCTTTAATAGAAGGCTCAGTGTGCTTTTTAAAAAAGCAGTTTGAAATCCCTAGGGTGATGTAGAAGAGGAATTTTGCTTATCATTGCATTTAGAGGGAAGGGATAACTTTATGACATTGGTTTTGATTTCATAATGAAGAAATAGGAAGAAGGGAAGAGGGCTGCATTTGGACCTGGCTCTACAGAAGATAACACTTCTTTCCTAAGAACCCAAAGACTATTTTCCGGGGTTTAGAGTTCTCCATCTGAAGACACGTAACTTTTCTGCTTTCCCCAGAGGCCTCTATGCCTGATCCTGCTCATCTCTTTGGATATACTTACCTGAAGTGCATGGAGGTGGCAGACACGTTCAGAGTTACCCAGCCTATAGTTTTACATATATTAGCCCATTAAAGCTAAACTCTGAAAAGTAATAAAAAGTAAAACTTACAAGGGTTATTTATAACTTCTCCAAGGTCTCACAATTTGTTTTTGGCAGAGCCAGGACTTGAGCCTCCAGGTCTTTTGACCCCTGGCCTGGAGTTTAATTTTTTTTTTTTTTCCCTTTAAGAGTGTGAAGGATTCCTATAGTTTACAGAGCTACAGTAAGTGGGAGAGGGGAACATGTGGAGACGTGTGGTTTATTCAAAAGCCCTAACAGCATGACCAAAACTCTAGTCTCTTGTGTTAACTATTTGTAATAGTATTGTATTGGTAGCAGTAGCTTTCTGCACGTCAAGACATTTTCTAAGTACTTTCCATGGATTGTCTCGTTTAATCATCACAACCACCCTGTGTATTTTATTTTTCCCATTTTACAGAAAAGAAACCTGAGGATTAGAGAGATTTGCCCAAAGTCATATAGCTAAGAAGCAATGGAGCTGGGATTTGAACGCAGTCAGTGTTATTCCAAAGTTTATGTTCTTAACCTCTAAAAATTATAATTTCAAATTATATTTCCATGGCCACTTTACAGTAGAACAAGCCATTGTGGGGACTGTGCTATTGGCAAGTGACTTTCTTCTTTTCCCCTTTTTCCTGGTTGGCATATTGTCAAACTGTTTGGTCTTTCTGGGTATTTGATTTAATTCAACTTCTTCTGGTTCAGAATTCTTACAGAAGAGATTGAATGTTTACTGTTGTCATTGCTTGAATGTGGGAGCCTTGTTGTAGACTTGTAGGTCTATAGGACCTATGGCTTGTCAAGAGTAAAACCAGGGCTTCCCTGGTGCTGCAGTGGTTAAGAATCCGCCTGCCAATACGGGGGACATAGGTTCGATCCCTGGTCCGGGACGATCCCACATGCCGTGGAGCAACTAAGCCCATGTGCCACAACTACTGAGCCTGCGCTCTAGAGCCTTTGAGCCACAGCTACCGAGCCCTCGTGCCACAACTGCTGAAGCCCGCACGCCGCAACTACTGAAGCCCATGCGCCTAGAGCCCATGCTCTGCAACAGGAGAAGCCACCGCAACGAGAAGCCCGCGCACCGCAGGGAAGAGTAGCCCCTGCTCACCGCAACTAGAGAAAGCCTGCACATAGCAACGAAGACCCAATGCAGCCAAAAATAAAAAATAAATAAAATAAATTTATTTTTTTAAAAAAGAGTAAAACCAGTTACTCTGAGAAAATCTAGTGTTAGGGGAATTGCAAGGTTCACTTGTTCACTTTGCTCCTCTCCCTCACCCTGGCAGTTCCTTGATGATCTTTTTTTATTTTTTGGCTGTGCAGCTTGGCTTGCAGGATCTTGGTTCCCTGACCAGGGATTGAACCCGGGACCACGACAGTGAAAGCCCCAAGTCGTAACCACTGGACCACCAGGAAATTCCCGATGAACTTTTTTTAAGTGAGAACAAGTGTAATCCATTGAAAATAATAAGTGGCCAGCTTGTAAAGATGTTGGCCTGTAGTCTTAAGGCTTTCCTGATTCTAACTGCCCAAATCAGTTAATGGTTTGCAGGTTCTGGTCTATAGTATAATTTTGTTATGATGTGTACGTTTGGCATGGAGAAGACTCAAGTCTCTGAATTGTGAGGTGGTGTACTGTATATCTTGCCTAACTGCTTCGTTCTCATATCTTTCTTTTTCCTCCCATTTATTTCTTTTCCCCCACTTATTTCTTATTTGTAGACATTATGGATAATAACCCTTTAACCTAAAGATAAATGGAAATTTTTTCTTTTCCCTTTTTCCTGTGATGTTTGGGTAGAAAGCTCTTAAGAGTTGTAAGAGAGAGGTGCTGGACTGTCCATTTTATATTGGACTTAAGTTCAAAATTTGCTATTAACTGAGACCTTGGGTAATTTCTACACCTATAGCCTGTTTTCTCATTTGCAGTAAAACTTCCATAGAGTTGCTGTAAGGATTGCCAGGATAATAAATGTAAAACATTCAGTAATTGCTAGTTCTTTTCTCCTTCCCTTTCTCCTTAGTAATAAACTGCTAAGGCCTCATACAGGGAATCGAGAGCTCATTATAGCAGATGTGTAATTCTGTGATAGCTGCCAGGCACTTAGAGAAGCACTCTATGTCCCAGAAACACTGGTCTAGGTGGGACCTCCTAGTAAATAGTGTTCGAGTAGGGAAACCAGCCTCATCCTCTCCTTAGAACCCAGTTATGCACTTGATCCAGTTAATTTCGTCTACTAGTTCACAAAATAGTTTTGGGCTGAGGCATTACTATTAAGTAGTGTAATTGGAAGATAGAAACTAACTCTTGAAACAACTTAATACCTCACATTTGTATAGCATTAAATTCTCAGCCGATCCTCACAGCAACTCTGAGTTAGACGGGGCTGGTGGTATTGGCATCTTACAGATGAGAACGAGGCAGTGACTTACTGCCATTGCTGGCTAGTGGCAGAGCCAGGACTGGGACCTGTCTTCTGAGTCCAGTTCTGTCCTACAAAGCTCTGCTTCTGCCCTCTTTCACGGAGAAAATTTCCCCCATGCTGTTAGGCCTAGGAATCTGGTCTTCTTTTTCTTAACTTTTCTGCCTTCTTCAAATTAGAGCCGGGTGGTCAGCTTTTAAAGCCATGAAGATGGGAGAAGCTGATGTTTTTCCAGCTGTTGCTTCCCGACCTAGAGCCCTGGGTAGAGGCCCTACTACCCTTCCTAACTCCCTGTATTGTATTAGCTAAAGTTGTGGGGGCAGAAAGTGGCAATTTTATGGAAGGGTGACAGTTTCTCTGTGCAACGGGGAGTGTTGGCACTGTATGCCTGATAGTAGTGGTAGTTTGGTCTTTTATTAGCAAAGAAGATTACAGGGCAGAGACTGCCAGAGTGCTAACTACAGTTCAGACAGACCCTTTTGAAACCCAGAACTGGAAGAATCTCCCCAGCTCTGGGTCCTCTTGGTGTGGAAGGTTCGTAGGTCATTGTACATAGCAGATGAGGGCAAGTGCAAATGAAGTAATAGAGATGAAAAGGGAGCAACATTCAAAAAAAAGTAAGGCTACTTATTAAAGACCTTTGAGTGGCCTGTTGGAGTGTAGGGTGGGAATTGAGAAAGTGACAATGGGCTTTGGACCTAAAGGAAGAACAGGAGTTGATAAGTGACTGCGGGAGCCCAGAGCCTGGGTAGGAGGACTTTGGAAGAAAGACTGCCACATTCTTGGATTTAGATCCACTGGAAGGAGATCTAGATCCACTGGAAGGAGTCTTGGTGATGGAGAATTAATTAAGGAGTTTATTGGGCACCTATTTATCAGTTCCTCTGGGTACTCTTGCTTGCTGAATACTGCATATACTCTAAAGCAAACAGGCCCAAGCGATTGTGCTTGGTAGGGCTCTGGGGAGCGTGGGAAAGGGAACTGAAGCTAAAGGCTTAGCCTAGGCTAGTCCCCACATGTCTTCTCCACGACGACTATTGCATTGGTTTCTCAATATCTTTGTGGGCATGCTGGGACTGGGCTTTGAGGTTTCTGCCTTAGGGGTGGGAAGGAGGGGGAAGGGCATTCCAACAGCAATTTTTTTTTTTCCTTCCCAATTTGGTTGCTGGGAACAGGGGGTAAGTGAATATATATCCATATTATGACCTGCTCCTGGTTCTCTACAGAAATGCATGTAGAGGAACTCTGACATGACAGTGGAATCCAGGTTTTAATGAAAACTACGACCAAGGTCCAAGTATTTGAAAACAGAGCAAAGTCCAAAGGGCATTTGTCACATTAAGCAATTCCAAGTCGTATTTTAAATTACTCCCTTCCATTCCCAGATTGTTTTTTCCCCAACACCTGCCCTTGCTGCTCTTTTTTTTTTAATGTATTAGGTATATTTTATTTTCCTCTCATTCCTATTTTTCCTCCAAATATTTCTACAGCTCTCTTCTTCCTGCTTCCTCCTTGCTGTGGTGGCTGGGATGCTTCTCCCATGATATTTTGAATCTAGACTGGGCTGTTCTCTGTTAAACCAATCAGTTACGACCTTCTCTTAACAGGTGTGTATGTAAATATGTTTATTAAGAATAAAAAAAAATTTAAGTGCCTTTTTTCTGGAGGGGTTGAGGAGAGGGTGGGGAATAGGGGAGAGGGTTTATTCTAAAACCTGCCTTTCAACATGGTATATCTTGGACCAACCAGAAAGACTCTTATAGCCAACTTATAAGAGAGAAACCCTACTAAATCCAACAGTATGACTACAATGCCCCTCCACTTACTAGCCAGCTTGCAGATTATGTAATAGGGTATGGGGAACTCTTCGCTTCTGAATATCATTTATTGTGGAAATGGTACACATAAACCCTCTAGATAATTGGATATTTACCCTTAGCTGGAATATGTAAAGAGGTGAAAATGTAGCCTGTTTCGAGCTTTCTGCAGGATAACAGAGATGTAGGAAGTTCCAGCTATTAATTGAAGGCTAGAATACGAACTACTTCCAGGGGTAACTTTATAATTTGATATAAATGCTCCTTTCCTACTCCACAGAGAGCTGTGAAGGTCACTGAAAGTGGTGCCTTTTTACACATAGACTTTTTCATTCTGTTGCTTTCTTGCCTCTGTTAGCCAGGGCACACATTCTGCCCTCAATATTGTAGTTTAGTTTTTAAAAGTAGAAAAGTCCCTTTATAAAGGTATTCAATTTGAGGGCCTTAGTTTTATTTCCTGCCTTTGATGGTGGGAATTTTTTTTACTGCATCCATTTCTTACCGGCGTTTTAATTTAGCATATTCATTTAGTATATTTTGCCACCACTCCAGCAATTTCAGTGTTCAGACTTGGGAGAGGTTAAGTAAGATCTGTTCTGCCCCCGTATCTCAGAGGTGGCTTGCCCCTGCAGGAGAGTGTGTGCTTGTCTATACTGTGGAGTTACATCTTTCATTGAGTTGATGCCAGCAAATTTTTCCAGGGGAGAATAACCTAATTTTAAACTCATGTCATGACTACAGCCCTTAGGCACATTCTCCCTTGGATCTAGTTGCACTTTTCCTTTCAATAGTTATTCCTTGTGGGGTGTTAAAGAGGGTAATGGCCAAAGGATCCTGCTTGAACAGACACTGGTGGTGGGTCCAGGCTTGGTGGTGGCTCTCTTTCTGTGCTGCAGTAAAACCACGAGAGGGCATCTTTGGCTCTGGGATTAATAATTCATCTGTCTTCTCTGACCTGTGACCTTTTCTTTCTCTCCTCTCTCTTACCTTTTCCCGGTAGTGTGAAGTGAGGGGGGCCTTCTCCCTCCTTCCTCCTCCCCCTGTGATCCACCTTCCCTTTTTACCCTGCCCTGCGGCGGCTCTGCCCCTTACCTTCATGGACGACTCAGAGGTGGAGTCGACCGCCAGCATCTTGGCCTCTGTGAAGGAACAAGAGGCCCAGTTTGAGAAGCTGACCCGGGCGCTGGAGGAGGAACGGCGCCACGTCTCGGCGCAACTGGAACGCGTCCGGGTCTCACCACAAGATGCCAACCCGCTCATGGCCAACGGCACCCTCACCCGCCGGCATCAGGTAACCCCTCTCTCCATCAGACCTGCAGGTAGGACTTTGGCATGGTCATAGAGAGACTATGATCCTTCTTGGGAAACTACTCTCCTCGTGGTTATGTGCTGTCCAGTGCCCATGCCTCATGATAACCTTTACAGGGGTGATAAATACTGATTAAGAGATAGGCAATATTGCTGCTGTGCTGAGTTGGGTGGACTTATCTCTAGAAGCATCCATCTGACTTCTTGTTTGCTGGAGTGGGGTTTCTGGGTTGGGATGCAGTTCTAGTAATGGCAGATCATATAATTTGAAGCTGTACTCAGGTTACTTGTTTTTTTTCTTGTGTGTTCCCCACCCCACCGCCCCCATATCAGAAATTCAGGAAATTAAATGCCTGCTTAGTGGTTGGGGAAGTTGGGCATCTTGTATCCTCCCTCAGAGAACAGTTTGCTCAGAAGGTGTGGCAG